TTTACAAACTTCACCACCAGAGATCCTTACGCTCCTAAAATAGTAGTAGAATTTCAAACTTGCTTGTGTCAGTTATCTACGATTGTGTGAAAGTAAGTCCAAATTTAAATTCACTATCTTGGAGAAGGACATCATGCTGGGGAGTGTGGAGGGACAGCGCAGGAGAGGAAGGCCCTCTATGAGGTGGATTGATTCAGTGATTGAGATAATCGGGATGGGAGTGTCAGAGACAGTGCGATTGGCACAGGACAGAGCAGAGTTTAGGGCTGTTGTACATAGGGTCGCTATGAGTCGCAATCGACTTGACGGCACATAACAACAACAACAACACAATCTTAAAGCAATGACTAACTACTCAGAGCGATTTGAGCAAGGCTGAGGGATTGACTATCATCTGCTTATGCAGATAACTGAGCTCAACTGAGCTCTCTGCTGATGATGGAATGCTTCCTGTTTCCCCACTCACCCACCCTGGTCTCAGCTGGCAGGGATGAGGTGGCGGGAGGTGTAGGTGTAAATTGCTATGACCTAGGTTGTTTCTGTTCTCTCTCTTTTCACTCTGCTCCATTCCACTAAGGCACTCCTCACAGAGGGTTCTTTCTAAGAGCCCTCTCTTTTTATCAGAGAAGTCAGACTTCTTCACGTGGCACGGGATCACTGTGTGTGTGTGTGTGTGTGTGTGTGTGTGTGTGTGTGTGTGTGTGAGAGAGAGAGAGAGAGAGAGAGAGAGAGAGAGAGAGAATGTCTCAAGGTCATCTGATTCAAGAGGAGAAATAGACTATGCACAACGCAGAACACTTTCCCTTTTATCATACCCTAAATAATTTGACCTCTTTCTTGCCTGACTCCGAGTCATCACAACAAAGTAATGGTTTTTGGCTTACTCTCTGTAAGTGTCTCCCTGATTTATGTACCTGGCCCAAATACTTTGCCTTCTGCTTTTGCCCTCTTGATAGCCTCCCTTTTGCGAAACCATTCCATTCAAACCCAGCATTCTTAGAATTAAACACTTTCTCTCCATGCCTCCTCTCTCTAATGCAAAGCTATAGTTTCTTCCTAGTTTCATAACCCTACCACACTTCAATGGATGTTACTCCTTTTATCAGTAAAAGGGCTTGAATAAAATTTCCGTTGACTAAATCATGTTGATATCTAGGAAATGTGGTATCACAGACAATATAAGTGGAAATGAAAATTATATGTCCCAGGAATGTGTTGGTGGAACTAAATTGTAGCTGAAGTGATAACAAAGACCCTGATCTCAAAGGCACTGGAGAGGAGTTTCAAAGTATTAGCTTCATAAACTAGGAGAGTGTCAAAACACAATATATAATTAACATATATTTTATATTACACATCATTCTAAATATATGTGTATACCTTTGAGTTGTGGTGTTGGAGAAGAGTGTTGAACATACCATGGGCTTCCAAGAGAACAAATTGGTCTGTCTTAGAGAGGGAGAAACCAAGTTGCTTTCTGAAGGCAAGGATTTTGAAGCTCTGTCTCACATACTTTGGGCAAATGGCCAGGAGGAACCAGTCATCAGAGAAGGAAATTATGCTTGGAAAGGGACAGCATAGAAGATGGATGAGATGGATTGACACCGTGACTGGGACAATAAGGGCAAGTGTGTCAGAAACAGTGAGACTGGCTGCGGTTAAGACGAGGTTCAGAGCCTTTGTGCATAGTAGGGTCACTATGAGTCACAGGCAACATGACAGCACATAACAATAACAATGTATAGTAAATACTAGCAGACATTTGGCAATTCCTAGGCAATCACTAAATCTGGGGACCCCTGGATTGCACTGTACTGGATCTGCATGAGGGAACTCTGACTTTCTAGTAGGTAGGACATTGTACTGTTAACCCAAAGGAGAAGCCTCTCTGGTGACGTGAATCCACTAATGGCTCCATCGGAGGAACACGGGCAGCCAATCTCCAGTGCAGTTTACAGCCTCTGAAAACCTCCTAGAGATTTACCTACGAGTTCCCTCCAACTTGATGGCAACAAGAGAGTGAACGAGTGAGAGTGTGAATGATATTTGTTGAATGAATTAAGGAATGAATATATGAATCACCAGAGCTCCTTATACAAATGGTTAGTAGAGATTAAAGAGTAATTGAATTTTAGCATTAAGCTTAAAAGAATCAAATATCGTTGTTGAGTTGTTTCCACCCTATAGTGACCCGCCATTGGGTTTCTAAGGCTGCAATTTGTAATGACAGATTACCCATCTATGTTTCACTGGTGAATTAGTTCTGTTGGAAATTCACAGCCTTTTGGTTAGCATAGCAAGCCCCTATAGGCAATCAAGAATCAAGAATTACTGTTCTATTAAGCAAATAATGATTGACTTACTAGGAGCAAGTAAGTGAAATAGGAATCAGAATGGTTTGGTGCTAAAAGCATACTCTGCACTGGAATATAAATGTAAAGAGAAACCTTTTCTTTATTCTAAACACACAGAAGAGTGGAGGGGGTGAAAAATAAAATGAACACTCATATCACTGTAATAATGGGCTAAATCAGTGCCTGTCAGTGTGGGGTAGGACCAGGGGTCATTTAGTTCTGTTGTATATAGGAATGATGTAAGTTAGAATTGACTTGATGGCATCTATCAACAACTTACATATGTATATCTACTACTGTTGAGTTGGCCCCAACAAGCAACCACTTCTCTAATGTTTCTGAGGCTGCAAATCTTTTCTAAAGGAGACTAGCTATCTTTCTCCTGAGGAGCAATTTTTGCCCCATGAATAGCAATGATGTTCTCCTTCAACAGTCCAGTTCTTACATTAACTACTGCTTGGCTGAATTTGGTATCAAATTCTACTGGGTTGGATTCAAACAGCTGAGCTTTCAGTTACACACCATAACACCTAATGTAGTGTGCCACTGGAGCTCCCCCTAATGAAAGTATGTTGTTGTTGTTGTTAAGTCCTTTCAAATCCAACATGACTCCTAGGGAACGTATGAACAATAGAGCTGAACTTTATCCTATCCTGTGCCATCCTTATCATTTTAGTCCATGGCTGCAGACACTGTACCAATCCATCTCATTGAAGGTCTTCCTCTTCTTCACTGGCCTTTCCAAATTTAACATCTCATTCCAAAGAATAACCTCTCCTAACAACAGGTTCAAAGTATATGAGACAAAGCTTCACCATCTTTCTTTCCAATCAACACTCTCACTACACCTTTTCCAATGCATATCTGTTTCATTTTTTGGCAGTTTATGAGATATTCAGCACTCTTCTTCAATAGCACAACTCAAATACATTCATTCTCCTGCCATTCATATTCATTGCGTAACTTTCAGATGCATAGCAGATGATTATTAAGAAAACTGTGGCTTGAAAAATGCACACTTTAGTCTTTAAATGGATATTATTGCTATTCAGGACTTTGGAGAGATCCCTGACAGCAGACTTTCCCAATGCTGCATGTACCTTGATGTCCTGACAGCTGGTACCAAGTGGGTGAGCTCTGGATCCAAGCAAGATGGAATCTTTGACAATTTCAGTCTTTTCTCCATCTATTATGATGTTGCCTATTGGCCCAGTGGTGAGGATTTTTGTTTCCTTGAAACTGATATGAAATCCATTTGAAGGCGACATTCCTTGATCTTCTGCAGCAAGTGTTTCAAGTCCTCTTCACTCTCCACAAGCAAAGTTGTATCATCTGCATAATCCAGGTTGTTGATGAGCCCTTTTCCAATTCTGATGCCACACTCTTGTTCATAAAGTGAAGCTTCTTAATTTACTTAGCATATATATTGAATTGTAATGGAGAAAGGGTACAGCTCTGATGCACACTTTTCCTGATTTTAAACAATTCACAATATATGTATTAAGTATTTGTTAGCACTTCCCCAAATTTGCTTCATTTACATATTCAAATTCCCATGCATTATCATTACACTTTATCCCTTTATACTTCAGTATGAGTCTTCAAAGGCTAAGCATTCTCTTCTACAAATACAAATGTACTATCACTTCTATTAAAGTTAACAAAATTTCCTTAATTGTGTGAGATCTCACACAACTTGTATTTGAAATTCTATAGCTGTCTAAAATCTGTTGCTTATTCTGCCTACTTATAAAACAAATACATGACACCAAAATCTAAAAGGGAAGGCGCACAAAATCTATCTGGTTGTTGTGTTTTCTAAGGGACCTCTGAAGGTTGCATTTTTGAGAAGATGAAACCAATCATTATGTAGAATCTCTCATATGCTGGATTGTTGAATATTATATCATGGTAAGAATACAGAGAGGATGGCTTCCATTGATATTTGTAATAATTTACTTACCTGGTTGAAGTACAGGTTTGCGATCAGGAAGCACTATTGTTCTTTATTAACCTTTCATCTAATGATTTTAATGTTTTTAACTGTAAAACTATTGTTTTAAAAAGCAGAGGGAGAAGAACAGGACAAGAATGAATAGATAATGAATACTGCACTGGTACAGTTAAGAGGAAGGATTATCTGAAAAGAATGTGTGATTAGGCATTACAACAACAATTTAGAACAAGTGGTACATTACAAAGTGAATTGGAGAAGGGGGAATAAAAGGAGAAGGAGGAAAATGTGTATCAGTGAATGAATGAAAACCCAACCTTTCTGTAAATTTTCATTAAGATCTGGCGTGAAAAACAACATATATGAACTTTTAGAACTTTGTATGTAAACAAGCATAAATTTTTTTAAAAATCACAATTTAAGAAAAATTTAAGATTAATCTATTGTAGCAAATTTTCCAATGTAATGCATCATTTGAGAATTCTTATCTGAATCAATTACTTCATGATATGAATGAAATCCACATTTTTCATTACCAAGTTCCATCACCAATTTCCAACATTTTCCAGGCAGCTTTGGAAATCATAAATATGCTCATTGAAATTAAAAATGTTGGAAGACAAGAATATTAAGTTACCATTGTGCATTTTAATGAAAGTGTAATATATTTTTATTCTCTCTAGTGTTATCAGCAAAATGGGAAGCCACATTTTCATAAGCCAATTGTTGAATCCTTTGAGCAAGCACCTCTTCACGTTCTGGTTCTGACGTATTTGGGATATGGAATTGGAACCCTGTTTGGCCATTTCAGAGACTTTCTGAGAAATTGGGGAATAGAAAAATGCAATGCAGCTGTAGAGCGAGAAGAACAAAAAGTATGTATATGCAACTTTTTGGATCTTTGTCAGTGTGTGTTTTTCCTCTAGGATGTTCTCAGATGTGGTGTCCATGTGGACAGACCTAAAAAGTTGAATGTTCAAGAGCCACTCAGGGTACATCTGATTTATCTCCTTTCTTAAAGTTCCGTTCTCTGCCCATTCACAAACTTATTTTTTACAAATATTTACTAAACAACTATTATTTGTTATGTATTGATTTAAAGGTTCTACCATATATTTACCTATTTAATTTAATAATACTTGAGATTCAATATTGAAATGTCATTTTAAAGTTGAAGATATTTAATTATGAGAACAAGTGCTTGCTTTGGCAGCACATATACTAAAATTGGAACGATACAGAGAAGATAAGCATGGCCCCTGCGCAAGGATGACACGCAAATTCGTGAAGCGTTCCATATTTAAAAAAAACTTATGAGAACAAAGTCATATGAAGAGGGCTATCTTCTATTCATCATTTAATTGAATGCGATTTGTGCTCCATCCTAGAACTGATAAGTGTGTTGTGACAGATTTATTTCATTTAGATCACAATTTTAGCCCTAACTTTTGGGACTAGGTGATTCTTTAGTATAAAGGGCTGTTCTAGGTGTTGTACCATGTTCCGCAACATCCCTGGCCTTTACCCATTAGATCCCATGCAAGCCCTACATACATGGGCTCTGACAGCCAAAAATGCTTGTTGTGGTGTGCCGTGACTCACTGCAATTTCAGACACAACACAACTAAACAGTGTTAGTGCCCACACCATCTTCATTATCAATTGCAAATAGCGCATGACTAGCTCATGGAGTTTTCACCAGCTAGTTTACAGAAGTAGATTGCAGGCATTTTTCCTACTATGCCTTCATGTAGAATCTTCACCGAAACTCATTTGGCATTATATCAGCATGCATACCTCAACTGGTATGGCGGGTGGTGCTTGAGCATGAGGTTCACTGCTGGGAATGCCTGTTGACATTGCCAAATTATTAATGAGGTGTAAAACCATCCCCGGTGTGGGCTCACTGATCTAGATACTCTCTGTACTGAACCTACAAAAGTCTGTGTCATCCTTTCACACAGAGCTAACCAGACAGCGTGGAAAACCTTTAGAGACCCGCAAAGGCTTTGGTAGTAGGTTCTCCCAATTTATTTAAAAAAAAGTATGATGCCATGCATCCTTTTTTTCCCAAAATTGCTTTGAGCATAGAGTATTCCAGGTGATTGAGACTTGGCTATATCAGGGCAAAGAACATAAGGAAGATATCAAGTGAATTTAAAATGCTGTTACTTAATGACTAATATCCCTGATAAGATAAACACACATTACATTAATACACCATACACAGAGCACGTGGAACACTCCTTTGTAATTTTCCTAAGTCAAAATATATCATCTTTGGAAGCAAATCAGTCCCCATTTTATTATGACAACCCCTCCTATATTTGGTAAATATTTGAGCATATGTTTGATGAGCATAAACTATGCAAGGAAGAAAGGATAGGTCTTACCTCTAAAGACCTTGAAGTCTGGTATGCAGAGAGACACACAAGGTCTAATCAATAAAAGGTAACTAATAAAAGGGCAACACGGGAACTCTGTGACTTACTTAGAGAATCATAGGGAGGTATGTTGAGACTTGACTGGTGAACAGAAATTTTCCAAACAAGCTGGAGTGTAAAGTGAGACTATCCACAGAAGGGGCACTATCTGTGCTAAGGTACTTAGTAATTCATTAAGCAACTCAGATTCTTTGGGTGCATGTGTTTGTGCCAAGCCAAGCCACTAGAGTCTGAGAATATTAAAGTAAACAAGGCGGGCATGTTCCTTCGCCTCTGGGAGCTCACCGTGAAGTAAGCAATTGCGATAGAATGCCATAAGGGGTAGAGTAGTGGCAAGTAGAAAACACACATTGACAAAAAAGTGAAAGCTCTAACTTTAACTTGGATGCTGAGTAATGGTTTTTGGGAAGAAGAGAAATGGTAAGCGGCATGGTAATGACTGAAGCAAGAATGAAAGGGCTGGTGAGGGAGAAGGAACATGGTATAAGACAGTCCAGAGGTAAGAGAAAGCATTGTGCATTCAAGGAGATAATTCCAGTGACTAGGTTGTTGCCAATGAGAGTAGGAGTGGATAAATAAAAGGACTGTTTGAGAATAATGAGGTTTTTATAAGACACAGGTGTTTATTATAAAAACGATGAGAAGGCATTGAAAGATTTCAGGAACAGGAATGTCGATTAGAAAGATTCTGCTCATATTGCTGTGAGACATGGATTACAGGATGATCCACGTAGGGACGAACAACCTGGTTAAGAGACTGGGGGAAAAAAACCCTGGTTTACAAAAGAAAAGAAAAAAATGTTGACACACCAAGGCTAAGAACAGAGCAGTAACAATAGAAGTTGTGATAAGAGATGAGGCCAAAGCAGACATGCAAAGAAATGCTCAAAATCACAGGCAATAAGAAAGGTGCAAAACAAAATCACAATGAGATACCACCTCATTCCAGTAGCAGTGGCTAAGTTTAATAAGACAGCAAGTAATAAATGTTGGAGAGGATGTGGAGAGATAGGAATTCTTATACATTGTTGATAGGATTATAAAATGGTACAACCTCTCTGGAAGGCAATTTGGCGTTTTCTCAGAAAGCTGAACATCGACATTCCATATGACTCATTCCACTGCTTTAAAAATAAAATATAACCAGAGAAAAAGACAACTGAGGCACAAATGGAGACTTATACACCAATATTCATAGCAGCGTTATTTGTCATAGCAAGAACATGCAAAGAGCCCAAATGCTCAACCACAAGTGGGTAGATTGAGAAACTGTGGTACATTCACACAATGAAATACTACACAGCATATAGTCACAATGATTTTGTAAATCACTACCTAATTTGGGAGTGACTGGAGAGTATTATGCTGAGTAAACTAGCTCAGTCCTATAAGGACAAATATTGTATAAAACCATTCTTATAGAGCAAGTATGAGGAAGAAGGGAGGGAGCAGAAAGGTGAGGATGGGAGGAGTGGAGAGGGGGGTAATCATAAGGTTTCACAATTTGATGGGTGGAGGGAGGAAGGAGTAAAGGAAATTGGAGAGATCCAGTGTGAAAAACAATGTATACGAACTTTGCAAGTACACTAGTATAAAATAAAAATTTTATTTACATTTTAAGAGAGAGAGGGAGAGAGATAAAGCCAAGAGAGAGTTAAGAGATGAGCTAGAGATATAGGATGTTCCATTTAGTTTGGAAGACTATGGAGAAGATAGACACAATATCATCTTGATCAAGTCAGTTTTTGAAAATTTGATTTGATATATTGGCAGCCAGATTTCCTCCAAGGATGTCTCTGATGGATCTGGCGGCATCAGCAGATGTGAAGCAGACAAGATATTTCAGGAAGGGCCATTAGAGAATAAAAGGAAAGAATGAGAAGAGAATGAAAAACTTAAAGCAATTAATAGGTAGTAGGGACAGAATCTCAGTTCAAGCCTGAAAGCAAAGTGATAGTTTATGAAATAATAAGACTAGAAGAGTCTTCAGTATGAATTACACATCTTCATAAAGAATGAATTACCCCTCAGCACAAAGAAAACAAAATTCCTCACAAGTGAACCAATAGGCCATATCATGATGAATAACTGTTAGCCACTTAAGAGATGTTAATACTAAATGAGTGCATCTAAACTTTGACTGCATATTCGAATCTCTTGGCCTATCCCAGGCTTTATCAGTATCAGCTTCTCCTTTTTCTGGCTCCAACAACTCTTTCTCTCAATCCTTCCTCATAACCTGTAATCTCTTTATTTTAACCTCCTTGTACTTTCTCACATTTCCCCATATTCTCCTGTTCTTCCTCCTTTGCTGCTTAAATTCCTTGGTCTTTTATTAGAATCCCTCCTTTGACACACCAATGACTTGTAAATCCGCGGACAATACTCCAACCAGGTTTGTTTCCTGCTTTTAACTACATTGTGCTCATATCCCCTAACTCCTTACCTCCCTTCCAGCAGCTAAACAAAGCTAGGGGAAACCCCAGCACCAAGCAAACTGCATCCTATTTAAATGTAGAATCTGTAGGTTCCAGACAAAGTTAGTGTTGCCTGCCAATTGTATTTCATCACTCTTTTGGGCTCCAGTGTGTCAGAGAGGATGAGGATGGCACAGGATAGGACAGGGCTCAGATCTGTTGTTCATAGGGTCTCTATGAGTTGTACTCAACTCCACACCACCGCCACACTTAGTTTAGGTTTAACTAGTGGTAGCGGTAGAACCCTCACTTTAGATACCAGACACCTGGGTTCCATTCCGAGACAACACACCTCATGCCAATAAATCACAACAAAGCATTCCTCAGCTGTTCATGGCGATGGCACAGAATGAAGTAGTATATGTTTGGTTGTGTATGAAATCACTCTAAATTGGAGTCTGACACCACAGCAGCTAACAACACAGTTAGTTACAGATGACGATTTCATCCTTTCTCCTCTCCCATCAAACCAATACCTCTTGAAGACTTTCACTGGGGAAAGTAAATCAGAACTTGCATACACTCCCTCCTCCTCCCCTCACCTGTGCTTTCCTTCTTGGCCTTCTTCCCTGTTCCCAGAAAGGAAATATTTGCTTATCTATCTCAACAAAAATGTTCACCTGTGCACTAGATCCCTTTCTTCAGCAATCTCTCAACGTGACCTTTGCATTACATGGTTAATAGGTTTATGAGCCTTGGCACATCCCAAAACTGAGCTCTTGTGTTTTCCTCTGAATGTGCCCTCTCACATATCTCCCCCCTCAGGAAACTTGCTCTCCACTTCTGCCAAAAAATCTTCAGCATCATCCTTGACTCTCTCTCACACCCAAGTAAAAAATGTCAGCAAATTCTGGTTTATGCTCAAAATATAAATGTAATCACACTAGTTCTTGCCACACTTCTGTAATCAGCTTTGACCAAGTAGCATCTTGTATTGATTGGATGTACTGTCTT